TCTAGAAAGTCGAAAGAAACTCATTAGCATCGCATTCAAACGCTTGTAAATTTATAACTATGTGACCAACATATTGCCGTGTTTATCGAACTATTTTTAAGAAACAAACGCCATCATAACTATCGTCTCCTTATGCCGTCATTATTAAAAAGATTGTATATAAATGTATAAATGTGTGTGTGTGTGTTAGCGTAGAACCTGTCAAACAACACGGGATTATATATGTATGAATCGGTACACACACACACATACACATATATAGAGAGAGAGGGACAGAGAAATTGAATATATATATAAATGTATGCATGTAACCTGATACACAATTATTAGAAGCATTTTGAACTGAAATTATCACTTATTCGATTAATATAATCTGTGGAGAATCAGATGCAATAACCAAGAAAGGGAATATGGTAAAAATAAATATTTGTTTTGTAAAATAAATGGTTTTTCGTTTTTGTTCGTTTGTTTCGAGTTTTTGATCCTTCTTAGGTTAATGGATGCGAAGAATGAAAGATGGTATTACCATGAAAGAGTGATAGAAGACCATGAATATACTATTCTAGCGAACATTACCATTCATACTGGCAGACATATAAAAGCTAATAGACCAGTCATTGTGATTAAAGACTATGAACCAAAAATGCTTTCTCGTTCAGATAAAAATATATCTGTCAAAGAATAAGTTAAATATAATAATTAAATATAAGCTTCTTGAAATTGAAATTTTAAAACATATGGCACTTTCAGACAACTGTTACACCTATAACACTGGAGCCCTGGGGACGATCAAAAAAGTTACAGGCACGAATATTAACGAGGTCTCTGGTAGACATTGTTTACGATAGAGTAAAAAAAAAACACTGCACTGTGTGGAATTATTCGTCTACTCAGTAACGTATTATCAATATAAAGAAAATATAAATACTGCACATGTTAACTATCACTTCAAAATTTGTGTAAACAGAATATATTTACTAACATATTGCATAACTTGCCTTCCTCCATGTCTCGGGTAAAAAATTGGTAAGATTTAAACAGAAAGCAAAAGATAATAATAATAATAATAATAATGATAATAATAATAATAATAATAATTGTTATTATTATTATTATTATTATTATTATTACAACACATCGAGAAAAGTGTGAAATTAACAAAAGAAAATTAGACGATAAGCTACACCCGACAGCAAGGCCTTTGATCAGGAGGTTTTAAGGAGCGTGAAACCATCTCTAAATTGCTGGTGTTTCCAGGTCCACTCTGACCCGGGGTAGTAGTACCTGTTAGGATCCCAGCTATAGGCAAATAGTTAACCCCCAAACTGAGATCCAAACACTATGAAAGTGTAAAAATAGGTTTTAATATCAGCAATACATTCTTGGAAAAATTATTACCAGCAATACATTTTTGAAAAAAATTAAAAAAATACCAGCAATATATTTTTGAGAAAAATATTACATACTTTAAAAAAAAAAATTACCAGCACTAAAAATCTTGTCGGCATTAAATAATTCATTGAGGTTGATATGCCGTTAAACAAACCGGACCAAAACGAATGAAAAGAAAATGGAAAGAAAAGACTGAGTGGAACAACATTTCATGCAAATATGTCTTCTTAAATTTATGATTAAAACATGCGTACAAGTATAAAAATATTAAAAAATCTTTGTGCAAACGTCAACTTGTCTTGAATTTTACACACACACACACACACATACACACATATATATAAATACAAATATGTATATATATATATATATATATATATATATATATATATATATATATATATATATAGTGTTAATAAATAATAATGTATGTAAAATAACATAATTTATAATAATAATTAATATACATTTTTTTTTTTCAAGCGGTAGAGCAAATCCCAGTTTCATGCACGATGCAATCATCAGGTATATATATATATATATATATATATATATATATATATATATATATATATATATATATATTATATATATAAATATCTACTTATAAAATATATATTTTATACGTGTATGCCTCTTTTTAAACATAGCTTGAAGAAAACAGGCATACTATCGAAATTTAAACACTATCTTTTCTTTTTCGTTTCTTAAATCGTACTCGTCTGGAACCGTTTATTTTGTCTATTATTATTATTATTATTATTTATTGTTGTTGAATAAATTATTTTAATTTGTTATTATAAGTTAATCATTCACTTTTTCCTCGTTCATAAAAGCAGTTGCTTCATAAGATTGTATTTTACCAAAATATAATATTTTACATAACTCTCAATACAAATACATCGATGAGAGAAATAGAAATCTGTGCGAAATATGAGAATGCAATGTTGTCGCGTTTATACTGTTCCATTTTAGAGATAGGGGAATATTTAATAAATATTCAGTGTCCTATCGTTTTTCTATCACTTGTCTTTTTCTGAAATACTGCGGAAAAAAAGTTTCTCTTTGATCTCAGTTGAACATTAATTTGCTGATTATTTCATTACAAAACTCATTGACAAATAAATTGATTTCTAAATCGTACCTTTTAAAATAATTTTAAAATTCGTTTATGTTTATCTATATACATCGGAATATTTTACACACACACACAAACACGCAATGGGAATTAAGGGTACATTTTGATAATGCATACATACATACATATAAATTTTTCTACTTTCTCACTAATTTTCCTAATATCGTTTTCTTATGAAAATTATATATCGTATTCACCCATATATATATATATATATATATATATATATATATATATATATATATATATATATATATTTTATATATTTGTTTATATATATGTGTATGTGTGTGTATATATATATATATATATATATATATATATATATTATATATAATAAAAATCTTGATTTTATTTCAGATTGTTATCGTAATACATACCATACTAGTATTTAAATTTTAACATTTTATTAAAGCTGCTGAATACACACACGCACACATACACACATATATATATATATACATATATACACACATATATATACATATATATATATATATATACACACACATATACATACATATATATATATATATATATATATATATATATATATATATATTGATAGATAGATAGATAGATAGATAGATAGATAGATAGATAGATAATGATGTTCAAGTTTGCTCGAAATTGAATATATATATATATATAGAGAGAGAGAGAAAAAAGAGAGATACATACAGATAGATTATGATGTTCAAGTTTTCTCGAAATAGAATATATATATATATATATATATATATATATATATATATATATATATATATAGATAGATAGATAGATAGATAATAGCATACTACCAGCAGAAAAAGTTATAGGATTATTATATGCACCGACACTTCTATCGAAGATCATAGTGTAGTATCTGTGTGCTCAAATACGAGTGCAACACATAAAATATATAAAAAAGACAAAAGTTGTTTTCATTTTTACTTTTTGACAAATAACTCTTCTTGTTTATATATATGCTTATGTTTGCTCCAATTAGATTATATAATGTCCGAATTTTCTTGTAGGCAAACAAGAACATATAAAAGAAAAATAAATCTTGTCTGTTGTTATTTAATAAACGATGTATTATTGGAAAATTGCTGCCGAAATACACTAAATATTTATATTCACTTGGGTAGCAAATCTTCATTAATACATGCTTGATTAAAGTTAAAATATACGGCATATTTTTTATTTATTACGGAAGATTTCCTTTCTTTTTTTTTCGTATTAGTGAACGTTAATGTATGTAAAAGTTTGTAATCGAGCGCTTTTATCTATTCGTTACACAATTGTCAAAATCCAAGAATTTAATGAAATTTTAAAAAAATACAACAAACATTAAATTTATAATCACTGCGGACAAAGTGATTATAAATGTTTGTTGTATTTTTTATCTAATTTTTATTTTAAAATGTATATATTTACAAATGTCTCCAGAATCATTAAAGGTAAACGTTTATCAATAGGCAAAAATAAATAAATAAATAAAATAGCGATGATATTTGTCGTAAAGTATTAATGCATGATTAAATTAGTTTTCAATTCATTGTAATGATCAGCCAAAAAACGAAGAACCAATGAAATTCGATTGAAGTCTTTCCATAATTGCACGAACGGAAAGTCACTTGCTTAAATAAGTACAAATCAACGTTAAGATGATTGGCGTTCGTCTTCAGTTTCAAAGAATACAAGGCAAATCACAGAGCATCTTACAGCAAATTAACTCCACCCCGGATTCATATGCTACCAAATCCTGGAAGCCTTTCAGCATCGCCTACACTTCGGAAGGAATAAGGAAAAAAAGGCTGCGTTTGCGTATGAGAAATATTAAAATTGAAGATGATGAATTAAAAAATGAATAAAAACATGAATGTATCTATATTTCCCGTAGAAAAAATGGAAAAATAAAATAAGATGCACAAATTTACACACCCAAAATAAATCTTCCCTTCTTTTAACTTATTCAAATCTGTCTTGCATTCATATTTTTAGATTACCCGTGTTGTTTCTTAAGGGTGTAATTCTTAAGGGAGCGTACAAGGAATTTTTAAAGTATAAATTAATTAAATACACGAGTTCGTTTTGCTCAAAGCTAAGGCAATATTCATCTATCGCTCTCTCTCCTCTCCATATATATATATATATATATATATATATATATATATATATATATATATGAATGTAAGTAAAAAAAAAAAATCACAGCAAAGTTCATTTTTGTCACGTATCAATTATATCTACCCAAGATAGCATTTGACATTGTAAATAGATTTTACCAAGCAACTTGGCATAAACGGCAAATTATTATATTATGTGTGTTTAGCTAGCTAGCTAGCTAGATAGATGAATATGAAGAGACTTACATAGATAGATAGATAGATAGATAGATAGATAGATAGATAGATAGATAACAGTGGTGAAAAATTATCGGTCCAATTAACAAGTGATTGAAAAATATATTCTGATGTTCGGTCAT